AAATAGTCAGATGCTACACTAAGTGCCACTTACTGCAACTGAAAACAGGTTACATTATGTTTGATGTACTGTCCTGTTTGTGCACACGCTAAACTCTGCAATCTGTAAAGATGCACAATGAGTATGATAACTGGATACTTCTGAAAAACTGATCAAATAAATAATTATTACTATTTCTATTTCATTTTGTTTGATGTAAAAAAAAAGTTAAATATGCACATGCATATTGCACACAAGATAAGATATGAACTGAAAAGGAGTCAAACAACTATGTTAAACAAGTATATATGTACAGTCATCCCTTCAAAAATACCAAAACTTAGAATATTCTTATTTAAAGCAAGCTACACACAATGTCCTTTTGAATCTACATTTAATTTCCATGTGCAAAAAGCTGTCACTGAATCTGCATGTCTCCTTATAAGGAGCAAGACGTCCAACTGACCTCCACTACTCTTTCCAGTGAACCACAACATTTTCCTTCCTCTCCCACTTACTGTGTGTTTGTGTGTCAGTCTTACTCACTAACCAGTAAAAGTAAGGCTTTTTATGCCTGCAGTAACCTTGTATGTACATGGCTCTTTTTGCACTGGCTAAACTTCAGCTGAAGAAACATTAAAAGGCTCGCAAGCAAAGCAAACAAAAAATAAAAAGCTCAGACAAGTGAGTCTTCCTTGACATCTGTTATTGTACAAGGAAATTTGCTTTAAGGAATGGCATTCAGAGAACCTCTTTTACTTTTATAGGGCTAGTGTTTATAGCATAGTTGTCTAAGTGAAAATTTATAGTGTCCGGTGCTAGATTCTTACCACAGAAAAACCAAACACTGGAGATGTTACTTTACATGACGACAGATACAGTGCACCACAAACAAATGTTCAGGTGCCTTTAACTTTTTTCACATTGTTTCACATTGCAACTATAGCTGAAATCTTTGTATTTTATTTTGATTTTTTGTGATCCAGCAACACAAATTAGTGTATAATTTAAAAATCAATGTATTTTCTTCCAAATAAAATCGTGAAGGGCCGTGTGCATTAAGTTCTACGTTCCTCTGCTATCACAGCTGCAAGTCTTTTGCGGTACATCTGTCAGCTTTTGACCAACATTTTTGTTTGTTTACTTTATGCAAAATTGCTCAAGATCAAACAAAGTGGATAGAAATTGTCTGCAAATGTTAATTTGGAAGTATTGCTACAGATTCTCAGTTGGATGTAAGCCTGGACTTTCACTGGACCATCCTAACACATGGATGTGCTTTGATCTAGCTTTGGCTGTATGTTTACGCAGAGGTGGTCCTAGCCTGTTTGGTGCCCAGGGAGAGCAACCCCTTGGCTAATGGAGATGTTCCTGTTGTGTTTAGGGATCCTGTCTGCAAAGACAGGATCCCTTCCATGCCAATCAAAAGCCCTTTACAGCCTCAGACAGGTTTTCTTTAAGGATTGCCCTGCATTTAGCTTCATGTATTTGTGAACTATTGTCACCTTTCCTGTCCAAGATAAAGAAAAAAAAACATCCTTTACAATTATAATGTGACAATGCGTAAAAAGGTTAGAGGTGTACTTTAAAAACCATTGCAAGGCACTGTATAATTATATGAATGTACATATTTCAGTTGTTCGCACTCTTGTTTGAATTTTCAAATATTTTCAAATCATATCTCGGTGTTTTGTAGAATAATCTTAAGTAACTTTACTTGGTCCATCATATGGAGGAGGCTCTGGTGCATCAGAGTATGTTGTGTTCTCTTCTCCAGCCAGTGGCACACTCTCTCCTCCATCAAACATACCAAACACACTCACTGTGTATTTAGTACCAGCTCTGTGAACCAACAAACGTCATAATTACATGTAGTCTAAACATTTTTTAATGGTTTAAATAAATGCAAAATTAGTATAGGAAGGATGTAAATACACACCTGAGTTCCTCAAGCACAACAGTATTGTCATAGGGACCAACCATAAGTTCCCTCAGGTCTATGTCGTCCTCAGCAGGGTGAAATTTGACTTTATAGCCCTTAACATCACCAGGAGCATGGTCCCAAGTCACTCTGAAGCTTGTCTTTGTTGGTTCAGATGTCTGAAGATTCCTGGGACCTTTATAAGGTGACACTGGCGAGAGGAGAATTGAAATGCAAAGAATAAATGTGTCAGTAAACTCTGCACTGTAAAGTACATGATCACGATTTGGTTGATCATAAAATGGCAACATACGTGTTGTTCCTTCTCCTTCCCTTGTTTTGCCTTCCCCGGAACGATAGACTGGCACCACAGTCAGGTCATAGGTTGTGAAAGGGGTAAGGCGTCTCAGGACAGTAGAGGTGGTGCCACCGGGTACTTTGGCAGCTAGCTGGCGCCCTCCTGGCTGTGGTTTGTAGGTAACACGGTAGTTGACCACATTTCCAGGCGCTGGCTGCCACGTCACCTTCATGGTCTTCTCTGTCTCATCCGAAACGACAATTGTTTTGCTGCTGGCTGAGACTGCGAGTGAGGAAGTAAAATTCAATGATACATCAAAAGGGATACACAGTGAATGAACAGCCTTAGGAAGTAAGTCTTTTTAATGCATTTTTTGTATGGCCAAGCATGCTAAATGAATACCAGTGATTCTTGAGAATAGGGACAAAACAGGTCCTATGGGTAAAGCACCAAATTTGAATAAAATATACACAAAATATATTTTTTTCAAATATCTGACTAAACTAACCTGGGTCATGTGAGCACAACAATGTATATTTTCCTGGTATTTGCTGAATATTTTTTTATTTTAAACATTGTAGTCGGTGGATGATGCCTGTAAAATCCCTTGTCCAGGAGCAGAACTCAATACATTATAATAGTTTAAAACAATATATTATGACAATTAAGTATAAGTAGTCATATAAATAATTATAAAAGTATCAATAAATTGAATTAAAAATAATTTTTAGATATTTTCCAACTCCGTTGAAATGTGTCCCTAGTTTTTGTCAACACCGTAATACATGAAAAGAATGTAAAAAAAAAAATCAGGCATTATTGGGGGGCACCAGAACTTCTGAGGACCCCATGACGTCGTCTTTTCTCTGCCTTTGCTAAGAGGGCTAGTTAGCTCTGGTTAGCTTATGTTATTCTTTAGTTTTTTCTTCTGTTTTATTCCTCAGTTGCTTGTCACAACCATGATGTGTCAACTCCATAACTGACAATTTACAAAACTTTGATGAAATTTTGTGAAATAAAAGCTTAATTTCGGTAAACTGTAAAGATTTCATGGACCTGATGAGCTACAATATGGCCTCCTTCAGAGTAACATCATAGAAATTGAGGTAGTTTGGCATTTCGTCAACTCCGTCAGATGTCAACTCCATCAGAGTTTTTCTGACTCTTTCAGTGATATTGTTGACAAATCTCACTTAAATGTGCAATTAATTCATTTTAATGTATTTTACATGAATTGCACTAGTTCACATGTATCAAGTTTTTCATTTTACTCACTAGTTTGTCACCACCTTCAGTTCTGTGTCAACTCCGTCAGATGGACTTTTTGTTGTTTTTTGTTTTAAATAATATTTATTTTGTTTCTTGAGAAGCATTTGTCTGTAAAATGAGTAAAAATATCACTTATAGGGTATTTTAAAAATCATTTTATATTTATTTTTGTCAGATGGTGATGACAAAGTTCTGGGTCAGGTCAATTAAAAATGTAATTTTTTAAAAGAATTTGCAACTGGGAGCCTGCACCTTAGCATCTTTACATTTCCTAAACATTATTTATCATATTTGCATACATAAGGTTGAGAAATAATTAAAAAAAAAATTATGGGAAAATTAAAACCCATTTTGTCCCTATTCTCAAGAATCACTGATCTGCATCTAAAGCTTTGTATTTTATCTTTATAGTTTTCACGGCGTTTAATAAAGAGCCCGTCT